TCTCTCTCTCTCTCTCTCTCTCTCTCTCTCTCTCTCTCTCTCTCTCTCTCTCTCTCTCTCTCTCTCTCTCTCTCTCTCTCGCTCGCTCGCTCACACACGCGCGCGCACGTCAGTGGTAAGTCTTGTGCAATTTAGACAGGGGTTCTGATTCAGAGTCGCCCTCTTCCTCCGACGAACAACCATCTTTCTCGTCGCCTTCGGCTTCGTCCTCCTTGCCACTGCCATCAGTCCCATCGCAGCCACCTCTCTCGTCGTCACCATCGCCGCTACCATCACTTTCGTCGCTGCCGCCATCATTTTCATCAGCGCCGCCACCACTTTCATCGCTGCTTGTCCCTTTTGGCGCTGCTTCCTCCTCCTCTTGCACGGGCTGCTTCTGTGGTCGTCTCCGCTTTCTTGTGACACGTGCGGGTGCAGGACCTTCTGCCAAATTGCCACCTTCCACGTCCTGAGCCTCCTCATCACCTGTCCCGCCTCGAGTTGCAACTTCCTTCCGAGGTCTCCCTCTCCCTTGTTTGGCTGGGATCGAGGGCGGTTCACATGCAATTGCCCTGGCAGCTTTGCATTTGTTGGCATGCTCAACGGTCATGGTCCTCGTGGCCTGATCCAACTCATGCAAATGTTGCCGGGCCAGAAACTTGGAAGCCTTTGTGGCCTTCCTCCACGACTCGTTGAGTTGTCTCTAAAGTTCAAGCAGATTGCTGCGCAGCCGATGACGTTGGATTGTGACCTCCTCTAGAACAGGTGTTTGTGGTGCTTCAACGAGATTGCTGTCGTCGTCGGAGCCAGAGTCATCATTCTCACCTGCATCACTAATCGGCTCTGTTCTGTGCAGCCGGACACGCCACTCCGCCAACCGCATTCGTGCATCCTTGGCCACCTCATCTCGTGTGAGATCTTCCACCGGTTCATCCTCTTCCCATTGCGGCGAATCCTTATCAGCCTTCGGCTTCTTGATCAAGGCATCCAACAAACGCTCGTTCCATCTATTGAAAACCAGCGTGCTAAGCTTGATGGCGCCGAGGTTGTTACAGAGACGACTATGAATTCGTTCGCACAAGCTCCTGTTTCTCTCGCAACAAGAGGAGGAGGACGCTTGTCCAAGCAGACGAACGGCTTGCTTCTGAAGGATGGGCATGTCACTGCACCGCTTCCTCCACCACCTCGCCGGCTGCACTAGACGGGCTTGCGTCCTTGCATCTTCACAATTGTGTCCCCCTGTGCCCTCAATCCAACAACAAACCTCTGCGTCGACCTCGACAAACGACGACTCTTTGCACCACGAGTAAAGCCACGTCCGAAACCGATCTGCAACCTCTGCATCCGTCTCTGGTCGTGACACTCTGTACTCTGGATCCAAGAACAGCGCAGCACAATGTAGCGGTGATGTCATTGCATTCCAGCGCCGCATGATGATCTCCTCTAGTTCGTCCTTCTCCGCTTCGGCGAAGTGTTTGCTCTCCCTTAGTTTCTCCACCACGCTGTCCATACGGGCATACACCTTGCTAATGGTGGGGCCCGTGCCATCGACCTTCTTCAAAAGTTTGAGCAGGTTCTTGGATGTCTGCATCACCTTCTCGACATCTGCCCAGAAGGTGTCGTCCAAGATGGAATGCGTCGCCTTCACTAACAGATCGCGTAGTGAAGTGTGCACGATCGCTGGCTTCGAGTCGTCATCTGTCACACACGCACTCAGCGGCAAATACAACCCCCGCAGGCTTGACATCATGATGAAGTTCGTGTCAAAACCGGGTCGCACCTGGTTTTGACACTACACCGCCATTGGAGTAGTGGATCAGGAGGTCCCGCACCCACGAATGGTTCGTGAAGAACTTTGCAAGCTCCGATGCTCTTTTCATAATTGCACCGACCCACCCAAACTTTGTGAAGACTCGAACATCAAGTCGAGGGAGTGTGCTGTGCACGAGACAAAGAAGATGTGAGGGTAATCTGCTTCAATCATTCGCCCTGTGGCTGCACAAACAGCAACATTGTCCATAATCACAACATTGTCCATAATCACCCCCACCACTGCCTCCGCACCTATCTCCTCTATTGCCCTCTTCAGAATGGTGTAGTATGCTGAGGCGCCCTTGTTGCGCCGTGACATACACACACTTCTCCAAAAGATGGAGCCTTTAGGGAAGGAGACAATCACGTTGATGTGTGGTCTCTGTCGGCGATCTGTCCAACCATCAAGCTGCAACATGCAGCCAGTGGTTGGCCACTCCTGTTGCAACTCCTCCACCCTCTTCCCGACCCTGCCCCTTGTCACTTCAACCCTCTTCGTCCTTGCGTTTTCGAACTTCGCGTACCTGAAGCCTTTCGGCACATTCATGAGCGCGTGCACCATTTTGTCCCAGTACTCGCTCTTCATCATGTTGAACGGGATGCATTCGGCCGTCATCCAGTCGTCTATCGCGCGCTGCATTTGCTCGTGTGCCGTAATGACAGCAGCGCTGTCCGTGATCGTTGTCTGGCGGAGCCCAACTCCAGACCCCGATGGATCCACAACTCCTGCCGCCGACGTCCGCGGATTCGTCTGGTGGAGCCCTACCGTAGACCCTGATGGATCCAGAACTCCTCCCGACGTCCGCGGAGCATTCTCATCCTCCTGTGACTCCTCCATTTCGGGCTCTCCCATTTTGGCCCCCAACTCGGACTTGGCAGCCGACCTACCCTTCTCCCTCCTCAAGTACTCCTCTTTTGGTATAGTACCTCTGAGGTGCTCGACGTCGCATCTCGACCCCTTGAGGAAATGTTCCCTTGCCCTGCTGGCTGTCCCAGCCACGGGCTTGTCGCAGTAATTGCATACACGCTTTTTGTTCCCCTTGTCGGCTTGCCCACTGATTCCCACTTCCCTGAAGTGTTTCTTCACGGCCTGGCTACTGCTTTTAGTCATCCTTCAAGCACACAAAGAAAGCGAAAAGAACAACACTTGTTAAAGCTGGTTCACTCCCTGACCCTCAATGCTCTCCCTCCTCCACTCTCCATTCACTCCCGGGCCCTCAATGCTCTCCCTCCTCCACTCTCAATTCACAAATATCAACCGTTCAATCAATCAATCAATCAATCAATCAACGAATCAATCAACCGGTCAATCAATCAATCAATCAATCAATGAAACAGTCAATCAATCAATGAAACAGTCAACCAATCAAACTGAATTAATCAATCAATCATTCAATCAATCAATGAAGAGAAGCCTTCGTTTATAGATGGGTTGCGTTGATTGGTTGATCAGTCGATAGGTTGACTGATTGATTGATTGATTGATAGTTTGATTGGTTGTTGGACGGTATGATTGATTGATTGATTGGTTTATTGAACTTCATTGATTTCATGATTGATTGAGCGAGCGAGCGAGTGATAGACTGATTGATGGATTGAGCGGACAATAATCGAACAGTTTCAAAATTTCGACAGCACAACAGCATCCCCATTGGGGTCAAATGGTTGCCAAAAACAAGAGTGCCTTTCTGGCAATCAATCGAAGAATCAATCAATCAATCACAAACGTAAAAAGATGCAATTGAAAAATGAACAAAAGGTCAGACAAACTCTACGTAACAAATATGGAGGGAAAAAAAAAAGGAACGAGAGAGAGAGAGAGAGAGAGAGAGAGAGAGAGAGAGAGAGAGAGAGAGAGAGAGAGAGAGAGAGAGAGAGAGANGAGAGAGAGAGAGAGAGAGAGAGAGAGAGAGAGAGAGAGAGAGAGAGAGAGAGAGAGAGAGAGAGAGAGAGAGACCGACCTGCTTGCAAGCTGGAGTCGTCGTCGACTGGGGGCGGCTGGCTGGGACTCCTAGCAGGTGGCTGCTCGGCGATGGCTTCACTCCGGCGGCTGTTTGGCGATGGCCTCAGCGACGGCTTCGGCAGATGTTGCGATGACACACACGAGGGAGCAGGCAGCAACAACGGGCGGGGAACACGAGGGAACTGGCAGCAAGGACAGGTGGGGGATTCGAAATCGCCAAATTTGAAATCGCCCCTCTAACCACCCAACACAACACCACCCTCACTCACCTGTGTCCAGTAGCATCCGGTAGGCCGAATCGTGCCTGAAAATTCAGGCCCGTATTTTTCAGGGGGCGCCTAGGACCCGGTAAGTGTCCTGGGCTGCCCCCTTTTTTTTTTTGAATTTGTGGTCGGCCCCCTCTTTCCAGACGTTCGGTACCGGACACCAGACCCGGACAGTTGGCTCCGGACTGTCTGGAACCGGGTCCGGACATCTGGTCGGTTACCATGTTTCTTCTCTTTTTTTTTTATTCTAAAAAAAAAAAAATACAGCTGTCTTCTCCTCATATATGGGGGACAAGCTGTATTTGCTACCCTATTTTCTCCTCTCAAATCTTGTATCTAGCTCACCCTTAGCTACCTACCTACCCTTGTCTAGTAATCTGACCAGAAACCCTACCTTAAAGCACCAGTACACCACACATCGGGCCGCGGGTGTCAGCATGAAACCCGCACCACTTCGGAGGGCGCCAATTTTCTTTTTCACGGCGCCCCTGGCCGTGCGGCGCCTCAGAGTTTTGCTTCTGGCGACGAAAAACTTTCTGCAAGGCTGGGGCCGTGTACTAGCGGTTTGATCGAGCAACGTGAAGCAAGCTGTTCCACTGGCCATGGGCTGAGTGTACCATTAGGCTCTAGGGCTAGGGTCTGAGGCCACCTTAAATGTTCCAACTAGAACTGAGCTATCCTAACGTTATGGGTCTGCAACGACTCAGCATCTACCTTTCTCTGCTCAGTGCGGGGAGCAGTACCCAAGCTCCTAACAGCCGACGTGGGCTGGAAAGAACCACTTCCACATTCCACAACCAGCCAGGAGGCCCAAGCCAACAATCTCTGCTGTTGAACCCGAAGCATCCCCCAGGAGGCCGTGCAGATCGAAAGGACGGCGTTGGGTATCGAACCCACAACCTCCTGAGTGCCACATACGTGCTCAACCAACTGAGCTAGCCCGCTTGGGCCACACCTTTCTTCTCCTTATATGGGGGGCAGTTGTATTTTTTACCTACACTATTTTCTTCTCTCTCGCCTCACACTAGCTACCCGTATCTATGCCCTACCCACAAGCCCTACCAGGCAGATATGGATCACATCTATTAAGGAGGAGCAATTCTTAAATGTACTACCTAGGCCTGATCTATATTAAGGTTATGGGTCTGCCTGCCTACCTCTGGTCTGTGCGGGGAGCGACACCCAAGCTCCTAACACCTGGCCCAGACTGGGAGTGGATCAACTTCCACAACCAGCCAGGAGGGACAAGCCGACTTTCTCAGTCGGTGAACCCGAAGTATGCCACACAGGGGGTTGTGGGGAATCAAATGGATGCCGTCGGGAATCGAACCCACGACCTCCTGTGTACCACTTCCGTGCTCAACCAACTGAGCTTGGCTGCTTGGCCGCTTGGCCGTGTCTTTCTGTCCTTCTGTCTATCAGTCATCCTCTCTTTTGGTCTGTGTGTCTCTGTCTATTAGTCTGACTGTGAATCTCTCTGTTTGTCTGTGTCTATCATCCTGCCTGTCAGTCTCTCTGTTGCGTGCCTGTCAGTCTTTCTGTTGGTCTGTGTGTATATCTGTCAGCCTGCCTGTCAGTCAGTCCTCTGTCATTCTGTTTGTCAGTCAGTGCCAGTCTGTCTTTGTCTCTGTGAGTCAGTTTGTCAGTCTGACTGACCGCCTGTCTGCCTGTGTGTTGTCATGTTCGCTATACACAACTCCACAAAAAAAGCACGACTGTGCCAGACTTTTTGGTCGGACTTTCACCAACTCATCAGGAGGTTGAACCGCGACGGTGTGTGTGGTCGGTAAAATACAGATCTCCAGCGGTCAAGCTTCACAGCAGAAGACCTTTTTCAAAACAGCTCAAGGCAAGGCTACATGCGACCAAACATTAGTCCGGGACTTAAACTGGCATGCCAATGGGCCTCACTCCACTACTCGCCACATGCACAAAAGACAAAAAAGATGCTGGTGTATCTTCCCATGTTCTAGCAGAAGATTCACTGTCACTTTGCACATTTGGTGAGTAGGGGAGTGAGGCCCAATGTATGCAGGGACTACAGACTTCATCGACCCATCATGACAGGATCTCAGATTGACGTTTGAGAAATAAAGGGTGAATCGAGAGGACAGGCAGACGAATGACAATGCGGCAACGAACAAAAGGGAGCAAGACACTGCCGACAATCGGCAGCAAGGGGCATAGGCTGGAGGGCAAGGGGGAGGCGGGTGGGCAGACAAACAGCACAACACAGAGAAAGGGAAAAGTCAACTAGCCAACGAGCAGCGTTGGACGGTCAAACAACGGCGAGGAACACCGACCCGCTGGAGGGCTGACCCGCTGGAGGGCACGGGGGAGGCGGGTGGATGGACAAACAGCAGTAGGCAGCAAAGGGGGTGGGCAGACAAACAGTACTCGGCAGCAAAGGAAAAGTCAACAAGCCAAGAAACAGCAAGGCAAAGAAACCACAAGGCAAACAAAAAGACCAAGAACCAGAAAACACAAAGCGAAGAAGGAAAAAAAACAAACTGATGATAGATTGTTTCCTTGGAGTTGTATCGACTCATCAGGAGGCTGAACCCTTAACAATCCGTGGAATCCCTGCGTTGATGGTTTGGGTCATGAAGCCTTTGACCCTCGTTGAAGGCAGACTGTCCCCAAAGCAGAACATATCAGAAGGCAACAACTCAGCGAAGCACGAGGCAATGCTGCTGACACAAACCAACCGCACAGCACCAAAAACAACTGCATGGACGACAGGGCAAGTGGATGCAGAGCCCGGCAACAGTGCAGTGAAGCACAAGTCAACACCCACAAGGCAGCCAAACTACACGGCACACAAGCAATGGACACGGAATGCGAGGCATGCGGATGGGGGCGGCAAGACAGCAGAGCAGCTAACCACAAATCAACAGCAACAACACAGCAACACCACACCATGAACAAAGCATCTCCAAAGAAAGACATGCGAAGCAAGCAGAAAGGGCAGCAAGCAGCGGCGGAGCGCAGACAGGGAAGTCTACACAATGCTCACATCCAACACGGAGCGAAGGTGCACATCACCTACTCACATCATGAGAAGTGCCCTACAGGATGTTAGTTGCCACCACCTGCTGAGCCAGGGAGTGACTCCGACGGACGTCTGTCATCACTTATAGACCATATGCACCACACACACACCGCGAGCAAAGTGGCTCCCCTAAGAGTCCTTCAGGCACTCCAAAGAATGGACCACCTACTGTTGAGCACTTCTTAAAGGAGCTTACTCAGACACACAAAAGTAAGAAAAAATCAAGAAAGACGGAAAACATACATAAAGCTGATATTGTGTTTGTGTGTGTGTGTGTGTGTGTGTGTGTGTGTGTGTGTGTGTGTGTGTGTGTGTGTGTGTGTGTGTGCGTGCGTGTGCAGAGCCGCCAGCCATTTTGGTCCAGTAGTCCTGAGCCTCTGAAATGTTCGGGTTCGCTAGACTTCGACTCTCAAGTTTGCCTGGGCGACATAGTGGCGGTTTAATAATGATGGAAGTAGTCAGGCTTTTTTTTTTTTTTGTTTAAAAATGGAGCATCTTTGCAGGAGCAGGAGGACCATTGGCCACAGGAGAGTAAAATAGAGAATACTTTTCTTTTTTTCACCGCTTCCCAAGTTTTTCGTTATTGGGAAATAGACGTAAGACTAGTAGGAGACTTGTTTTTCCTTCGAGAAATTCAGCTTTCAATTCTAGTTCCACTACAACATAAAAATTGCAAATGACGAAAACGAAAATGGAAAAAATGAGTCTTTTTTTTTTGTTTCCCTTTTTTTTTTTTGAAGTCCTGATTCTTGTTTCACAGATGAAAAAAAAAATTGGAGAAATGAGTTGTTCTTTGTTGTCCTGTTTGCCCTACAGGTTGACACTAATCGACCGCTTTATGAGAGACATTGGTTTAAGGTATGAAGTTACTATGAAGCAGTAAGTGTAAGATGATACTAAGATCTATTCTGATAAAACTGTTAAAACTTAAAACTGTTAAAAGACAAAGAAAACTGTTTGGACTGGCCAACCCAGATAAGGTGTAAAAACCTGTGTTAGTCCCCGGGCGGCCCGGCTGGGGAAAGGTCGCCCGGGTACCCTCCCAGGCGGCCGGCCCCGGCAGGGTCCCGGGCGATCTCACCTTGATTCTGGTACTTTCATTCATCTAACAACTCCCATAAAACTTTTCGGCAGCGGACGCGACTCTCGCGTCTGCGATGGTCCACGTTAGTGTTTTCCCGTGGAGACGTCCGATGTAAAAATTCTGACG